ATTTGTCAAATTACCAAAAATAGTTATATTATGAATTCATAACCTAGTCTATAACACCACTAGTTGTGTTATGAATTCATAACCTAGTCCATAACACTGTAGCGCTATTTTAGGTCTCCCTGTATATCGTGATGTTTTAAGGATTTTTCTACTTACAGTCCAACGGTTATCTCGGGCGCCACCCTTAGGATTATAGTGGTTAAGGGCCCACGCGCACTAGGTAGCCTTTATACAGTGGAGATACGGTATGCCAGGGGTCATAGATACGATATGGGTAGAAATAAAACTTATCGTCTCGGTCAGCTGCACACTTTGTAGGCTTAAGGGTACTAGGTAAGTTTCGGTAATCTCTATCACTCCACCATTGGCCACTCTTGCACTTCTCACTTTTGAGCGGACTCGTTTAAGACGCTTTCTCTGACAGGTTTCTGCGGCTCGGTCTCCTAGATACGAGTGAACGGCTCCGGTATCGATGTGTGCATTGAAGCGGATATTTCGGATGTATACGGCTACATGTGGATGAGTGTCGGTGACGGATGTATTTGAATAACCATTCGAGGTTAGATTGGTACCTACGGTGCTGAATGGACCTCGGAACTGTACAGCGCCGGTTTAGTTTCCCGGTTGTTCACATAAACAATCCTTGGACATTATCCCTGGCTTTCCACATCTGGAATAGAATAAACATGCGGTGCCCCGGCATTCATTGCTAAAATGTCCGCGTTCTCCGCATCTGCAGCAAACATTTTCTCTGGTGACAGCCGGTTCGTGTCTACGACAGAACCGATCATTATTCGGTTGGAACGTCCTTTCCCGTTGCTGATTCTGTTGTCGGGTCCTGAACATTGGCGGATGTTTAGAGGGAGTGGTCGACACAGAAATGCCTGGTGGTGACTGATACGGATTTGTGGTGACAGACGGACCTACCTTCAATTCGGACAGTAGTTGTAATGCTAGCACTGCTGGTATCCGTTGGGTTACCATTGCTGCCGGTGCCTCCTGTCATCCTGCTTCCTACTCCTCAGTCAAAACTGTACGGTGACGGTACACGCTTTGCCAACGGAACAGGTAGGCAAGTAAAAATATCTCCTTAACAAAAAGAGTTCACAGCCAGCCAAGCCGGTAACTACTTTTGTTGCTAGAAGCTTGATGCTTTCTGGGGGGTCGTCAGGTATTAAACTCTACACTTGTTAGCGTCTCGGTTGAATATCGAATTTATAGTGTGCCCTAATTAATTATTTTGATAAAAGTATTAGCTTACCGGTTTGTTTTTGCGGTCCCAAGTCAAGTATCTCGGTATTTCGGCAGCTGGATCGTGTCGGTTACTTACTACTTGTTGCTTGTTCGGACGGTCGTAGAGAACTGACCTTTTTCGGTGAGTTTTTGATATTTATATTTCTTTTCGGAAGGTACCTCCCCACCATACTTGAAATAGGTAGTAGTATGAGCACGCATCCTCTCTTTTTAAAGGTTGGTAACGCATATGTGTACTGGTAAAATGGCTTTTCCCCAACGGAAAGCTTTCGGTATTTTGATGAAAATCGTATTATTTCTTGAATTTTGGCAACGGCGCTTTCTTTCCTTTCCACATGAAATCATCTGCTCAATCGAGTCGGAAACGAGGTAAGTACAACTCAAAACTTGAGTGCGCGTATGCGCAGAAAGGATTAAAACGGAGCGGTTCATTTTACTTAGCAATAAGCGGTAGGGAATCATATTAAAATGGCACGGTATCGGTAATGATTCACCTATCGGTCGGTACCACAATAAACGGTCTCTCAATTTTGACGGGGACGGAAGTTGACGTTATTTTTTTTGTGGTCACTGGCTGATGTCCTTGACATGCGCAGAGACGTCCCTGCTCGGGCGCCATTTTGTAGCGCTATTTTAGGTTTCCCTGTATATCGTGATGTTTTAGGGATTTTTTGACTAACATTCCAACGATTATCTCGGGCGCCACACTTAGGATTATAGTGGTTAAGGGCCCACGCGCACTAGGTAGCCTTTATACAGTGGAGAAACGGTATGCCAGGGGTCATAGTTACGATATGGGTAGAAATAAAACCAACAATTAAGGAAAATAAAGCATCGTTCGTGTTTGCCAAAATATACTTCTAATAAGCTTAACCAGTTCTTCTCAATCCTTAACCAGTAATCACCCCTTGAACTTTAGAACCTACTTTAGGGAGAAAGGAGAACCTGGGGAAGTATGCGTGCTTTCGGTTACGGTAAATTGTGATCGAACAATACGGTATAATATTTAGTGTACGGACGGTTTAGTGACGTCAAACGGTAAAAGACTCTCGACCGCAAACGGATAAAAATGACACAAATAATGAGACACGGAACAGACAACGAACCACCTGGTATACATGATTCGCAAATATAAAATACGCATGCGCGTCTGACATTGTTGAACAGTAGGTTGCTTACAGGTAAGAAACAGAATAAAACGGGGAGAGAGAGAGAGAGGAAGCATCGCCATCCTCGTCATACGAACTGTAATACGGGGTCCTGTTGGCATGGCGAGATGGCGTAGCTGTAACTCCCCTTGAGTCCGATGTAGCTCGGGTTTACACCGACGCAAGGAGAAGTGCTTATTTTTAACATGGACAACAGAGAAGTGTCTAACAAGCCTAATCTACGCCGTCATACCATTTATAATACGGGGGCCTTATGTTATGGCGTCACAAACTTCAGCCGCACTCATCGCACCGGACGTAGTACGGGTCCGTACCGAAGCAAGAGGCAGAGAGATAGACAAATCTCCGTAAAATATAGAATGCTGAATATTCCCTGCATTCCATCGAACGTAATACGGTTCCAAACGATGAAATGCAGGCAATCTACCATCGGCTCCATACCATGTCACCATGGTACGGAGAGAGACGGCAGTATCAGATATACTTTTAAAGCAACCACTAACCTATACATTTGAATCCGGCGTGATGACGTGGAAGCGGCGTGGGCGTCGGTAGAAACGGACCTGGTGATGGTCGCTCTGCTGCTGCTGCTGCTGCAGCTGAAACAGTGAGACCGCGGTGTTCGTCTCCCTGCTATGGTCTGGGTACTGCGGTTTTATTGTCACAACTGGTTTTCCCCAATCTGACGCGAGGGCTTGTGGTTGAGTACAACGCGCAGCGATTCCGGAATATCGCGTATCAAAATATATTCAAGCCGGGAAATAATTAATATCAAATTATACCGTAAGCACACATTCAACCCCAGGAAATTTAAGTAACATCGTTACAACACCACTCTTCTGTTAGGAGTCTCATGACATAACTCAAATACTAGAAAAATGGTTATGTATAAACGTCATAACCAAACGCTTGTAGATAAAAATGTAAAATGCACTATTTTTAATGTTATCTAGTGTTTTCATTTTTAAACAGATCATGGTCATTTTTATACACTAAAACCTTATGTATATGCTCTCATAAATATAAGGTACTGGACCTATGATGGTTTTTATAGATTTTCTGGAAAAAAATTAAGTTTGCATATACGCCTCTACGTGATATATTTTTTTCTTTCTCAATAAGATAAGTCCTCTAAAGGAAACTATAACAGATACCGTTACGCCATTTCGTGAGATCAAAAGTGTACCTCAGAAAAGCCTAAATTTGTTGAAAACGCAATTTTAGACTTTTGTGTTAGATACGCCCCGACGTGATAAGGGAGACGATATCACCTGAAGAGGTTATGCTAGGCTGTTAAAATTTTTAGGTATAATTGATATAGGAATGATATTTAAAAATTCGTATAATGCACACCCATTTTCTACCTGGAACCACCCCAAAAAAATTTAAAATAAAATTTAAAAAACAAGCAATTTATTTCAAATTATTTATTATTATTTTTTAGGTGGTTCCAGGTAGAAAATGGGGGTGCAATATACAAATTCATAAATATCATTCCTAAATCAATAATCCCTGAAAATTTGAACAGCCTAGCATTAGCTCTCCAGATGATATGAAAGGGGGTTGTGTAAATTTCAACACCCTCTATATTTTGGAAAGGACGACCATCGGTGTTCTATCTCAAACCACTTCTCTGGTTCCTCCATCTATATACCCTAGCATTTTTGACCAGTTGAATGGAGACACCCTGTATACATCAATAGATGCGTTAATCGGCTTAATTTGGTAAAATATTCATATGAGGGAATTCCAAAAATCAAATATCAATTATTGTTGTACCACGATTGGAATTTGAAAATTAATGTTCCAAAAAACCAGCACCTCTAATAACCAGTTCACATAATTATTTCTCATAAAATTGATTCGTATAATATTGGAAAAAAAAAATCAATTTTCTCTCCTGCTAATCGCGATTTCCAATTTCTCATTTAACACAACTGGATGCGAATGTAATGCGAAGCGTTTCCAGTAATGAGTATGCTAGAAATGGGACACGAATTAATCTGGAAAACAATTTTATTGTTGTCGAGGTAGTAACACATTTACAGTCTAGGGCGTGGTAGGTTCGGAAAATTTCGTATAATAGGTATTCCCTTTGAATGGAACAACTCAAATTTCAATCAATGTAATCTCTTTGTATCCAGATTTTACAATAGATTAATTTTTGGGTTTATTGAAATAATACTGTTTTCGAGAAAAACATAAAATAAAATGCATGTTGATAAAAATTCCAAGGCACCTCTTATCACTTGAGACCGGTATTCACTTTAAAATTAAATTCGAGAACTCAGCAAACTCCGCAACATATTTTCTTTTCAAATATGACCGTGCACAAAAATCTATTGAAGCAACGAGGAATATTATATCAGCAAGATCTCGCACCCATTGTGCCTCAGACCGTTATCCATTTCAAATTTCCTGTATACGGAAAATATCTTCTAAAGTAGCCGCGCTCAAAAACCGAATAGAGACATAAATTCCCATATCTCTGACGCGATAGAGTCACTTTTGTCGCTGCGGGCCTCAATTTTAACGTTCAATGGGTCAAATATTCAAAAAACCAATTCTATTTTCCAGGTCGGTCCACTGCCAGTCCACCGATAGCGCACGCAATAACGCAAAAGAAAAATCCAACTATGGGAGCTATGGCTTTCAGGTCGAGAGATATCATGCTTGAATCGACCAAGGAAAGCCCGATTGGAACTATGGCTTATATTATAGAAGAAGAGGCTTTGCTGATTAAAGTTCACTCGGGTTGGCAATATGTCGCTGTAAGTTCTAAAAATAGTACTTGTTTAAATTCAAGAGGGCGCATTAATTGAATTATGACCGAACAATGATTATAAAGGGATAATTTTGTTTCTAGTTGGGTTCACTACTGCACATGGGACACACGACTATGCCAAGTACCACTGCTCCGCCTCAACTGAATCCACCATTTGAATCCAGCAATCTTATTCATGACAATACGCTGCCAGTGAAACCAATTTTACCTGAACTACCTCAGTCATTTAGTCCAAAACCTGAGGTCAATGTTAGACTGGAAGCTTCGCATTCACCTTTTGGCGAACACTTGTTACATAATACACAATTTGCTGCTGTAAGTATCTAGAGATTACGAATTGTTTATAAATTAATTCCTCAAAAATCTTTAATTCGGGATGTTATGACACACACATTATGTTGGTCCAAACAGATTCAAGTTCCATAGTTTTCATTAAAAGCACTCGTTAGTGCAACGTAAATGGTTTAATAAATTAAAAATCGCTGCCTTTCACACTAATAAATTTTCGGTAAAGTACCTGGAACGTAGTAATTTGGAGCGTAAATGCCAACCTAGTAGTGTTGAGGAAGATATCGGCGCGACAGTCCTCCGGAGACCGATAACGGAAACGAAATCGATGGAGAAATTCGACCGGAATTGCAAAATCCGGTACTAATCTGGAACGAGGGCTTGTAAAAATGCTAATATCGCCGCCTCCTGCGGCCGTTACATATCGAAGTGCATGCTACTTGGTTTGCTTGGTCCGATTTTGAAAATGAGATAGGGTTTGTTGAAAATTACTTGTAAGATACCAATCTCTGATTTTCGCCATATTAAGGTTATTTTCTTATGGATTGATGGCTCTGTTTTTGTGGGTCCAGTCATGGGACCCTCCGGATTCAGATCATCTGATCTATCACAATTCTTATTGAGCTTTTGCAATAAAATATTTTTGATAATAATCAATTTTTCTTGGGTTTTACAGAGTAAAAGAATATCATCAACATACATATATGTATATCAACAAATAAGTTGAATCTCTAAAATATTGTCGGACCTGGGGGTTATGAGGGGGGAGCATCAAAACTAGAGCCAAGTACAAAAATAAGAAAGTATATTTAATATAAAGCTTACCACAAATACATTTCAGATATGGGCATTGGCACTAATAATTATCACAGGACTAAATGGCACAAACATTACTGACTAACTAACGCTGATCATTCTCGGTCTGTAGACTACCCCCTCATCTTTCAACAACCATTATTTTATATTAATCAAGCGACTATGGTGCGTGATCGCTGATTATAATAATTACCAGTGAACTGTCGTTGACATTGGCCTTCCATGAGTTTAGGTTCCGTCTACGTACGAATTAATAATTCAATAATTCGTTCAACTTGCAACCGAATGTTATTTAAATGTAACGTGATCAATTATTTTCCTGAAACCCATGAACCGTTATTGGAAGACGATTGGGTTTAATTAACCAAAGAGAGATGCCCTTTTATCCTAGATACGACAAAATAAGGGTCCTTTTTAGAACCTCTAAAGTCAAATTCAATTAGAGTATTGTTAAATAAAGAATTCCAACATTTTGAAACTTGACGAAGTCCATGTGAAGCTTTTTCCAATTTACAAACTAAAATTTTATTAATCCATTAATCAGTCATCTCACTTTGTTTAAAACTTCTTGCAAACGTGCTTTTTTCTTCAATTTTCCTTCCATAAACTTTCCACTAAACATCCAACTCGAGTCTATTATTCCAGCATCTTCTGGTGGTACTACCAATTTCCACGTTTCATCAGTTTCTAAAGCACTTAATTCCTTTATTGCATCCTTCTCCAACCACAATCCATCTTCACAGCTTCCTGATAACTCTGTGGCACATCTACAAAGAAATTTCCTGCATTTAATGCCGCAAACAAATTTAACTCATCATCGAGAACATAATCTTGTAAATGCCTTGGTTTAGTTGTATTTCTTGTACTTCTTCTTAAATTTACTTCATAACTTTCCTCCTTCTCTCACTTTCTGATTCTTCTCTCTCAATTCTTTTTCCTTATTTTGCAATGTTTTCAATTTTCTATCTTTGTCAGTTTCACGAATATAATAGAGTATAATATTTTGATTGGTTTCCCTCTTCATTTCATTCATTTCAATAAAAATCACATTCCTTGCATGAACCAACTTCCTTCCATTTACACAGAGGCTGAAAAAAAAAATTGAAATCCAAGACTGTCAGTCCCCTGAAAGCTCCATATACTCCAAACATTTTGAAAACTTCCAAGATTTTCAAACTTCATGGCTTAAAACTAAAATACTTCAAAAATTTCAAAGCACAGTAATGGAAAGTGAAAATATAAGACTTTGAATGCTTTAGAATCCCATATCTCAATGTCTCATTATTCAGGATTTGAAAAAGAAGACCAACGACTCATTGATAATCCTAAGACTAAAAATTCCAACTTTGAGATTTAAGGCTTAAAGGATCCAGAGCTGCCCAAAAATCTTATGATTTATCAAAAATTCTAAAGCTCTTGATTCAAAAAGCGTTCATATGTCCAGAAAGTTCAAAAATCTGTGTCTCAAGATCTTAACAAAGAACACTAGAGACCAGAGACTTTAGGGCTCTGATTCATTATGATTTAAGCTCCTGCTGATTGAAGACTAAGTAAAAACTATAGTTTTCAAATATTTAAATGTTTATGATTAAGAAATTTTGGAAACTTCCCAATCAAATTTCAGACTCTTATAGGGATCCCCAGACCAGAGCTCAAAGTTTCGAATTTCTGCTTCACTCAAAAATTTTGGAAACAATTTTTTTCTTTTTCAAGTTTTTCAATTATGTATATCAAATTGAAGAACTTCTATTATTATTCCGGTTTGCATTTACAATGACACTAATTTAAGAACTATTGAAATTTATTTTATCAGCGACATCACGTTGTTGTTAGCGTCATTACGAGAAAAAATTACAACAGAATGAACGAACTTAACTTTAATTGGGATTTAGCTGCGACAAAACGGATAATAATGTTGTTGACAAGTTGAGATTTTTTTTGTATCTTGGAATCATTGCATCTCGGTTATTATTGCGTTAAAGAATATTTTTATCCAGTTAAATTTGAAGGAAAATTAATTTTTTCAACTGTATAAATAGGTCTATTCCGCTAAAAACGAATGGTTTAGAAGTTATATGCAAAAAACTGAAAAAATTCGTCTTTCGACTTCCCTCAAATTAGCACAGGATCCTCGAGGGCGTTAACTCAGATTCTACTCCACAAACGACATGCCAAAATATCGTTTACTTTGGGATACTTTCCAGCGACCCTCTTTATTTATTACTTGACTTGGCCTATTTTTCTATGCTCTAACCATTTTTTTTCTTCTGTGCCTAATGCCGTGTTTGCACTAGCTTTTGATCTCAATCCGCATCAGTGTAGGCCGTTAATTAATTATTGCTTTCCGTGCTTCTTTCATAAGTGAGTGACATGTTCTGTGTTTGTTTCAAGTATCTCAGGATCCTCTTTGCAGCCGTCCATTCTTGTTCTGTAGGTTTATCTAGAAATCTGCTCAGATAAATTACAGAGTATTGAATATCTGGTCAGCTTCTTGTAGCTAGGTATAATAATGAACCAATAATTTCTCTATAGGGTATGTTAGCTCTAACTGGTTGATCCTCTATTTGAAAATTTGGTTGGTAGGTGTGGAAATAGTTTTGCAGTCTTCCAACTTGAATCTTTCTAGCATTTTCTCAATAAGTCCTTTTTGTAAGATGTGCACTAAGTTCTCTTTAGTCTCTATTTCCATGCCCAAGAAATGTTTAATGTTCCCAAGATTTTTAGCAGAAAACTCTTCTAAAGCTTTTAATATCTTATCACTGTTGGTCCTGTTAAGATGATGTCATCCTTCCACAGAAATAACCAAACTTTCACGCCTATATATAAGCAAAAGTCATGTTTTGAACGTTTCAAGTTATTTTTCTGTGCAAAATTATTGAAGGTTTTATTCCAGGCTCTCGGGGCTTCACGTAGACCGTAAAGTACCTTTTTTAACTTTAGCACATTATGGTTTTTGTTGAGATTTTTTTCAACTTCTACGCCTTCTGGAATTTTCAGGTACACATCTATGTTCAGCTTTCCATGCAAAAATGCAGTAGGTATATCCAATTAGGCTCTCTAAACCACGTGATTTTTCAATATGGCGACCGTGGAAAATTTGACGTTTGTTTGTTTATCTTGAGTTTATTTGGAATATTTTCAAGCTATTTACAGTTTACTTTGTTATAATATACTTTTTGAGATGCAGAGTGAATATTTAAAGACTTGAATGCAGGAAAATCGGGATCTTGGCGAACGGTTTAAAAAAATGTCCAGATGACATTTTGATCCACAGTCCATATTAATGAGCAAGTGAAGGCCTACAAAAGCTAAGATTCTTACAAATATTTCGAAAATGGCTTTATTTCAGATGCAGGAACAGTGGTAGTGAAAAATTTTAATTGGAAAATTTTAAAACAAAGGGCAATGAAAAAAGCCTGACATCATCCTTGTTACCATGCTGAAACTACTTCCACAATCAACTTCAAGACCCGTTTGTGGCATTTTTAATTGGAAGAAACACTAATGAAGTCAATAAAATAAAAAAATAAACATAGTTCATTCACAAAACAACCACAAAATGCACTTTAAAAAGCTTTAAATTACATACTCTCATATACAGGATAATGAACTTCTGCCACAACGCACTTTTTGACAGGTCGTTGGAATGCTTAATTCTTTGACATGCCATTTATTTTGTAAATCCTGTACGATGAACATTCTAATTGTTGAATACCTTGCAACTGGTGCATAATTGTTGTAGTGAAAATCTTCCTGGTACCCTTTCGTCTTCTTAACACCATTAGGTTTAATTTTAAATAGCCAACGTGTATCTATTGCTTTTTTTCCCTCTGGTAGTTTTGCCTGTTCCAATGTTTTGTGCTTTTCAAGAGCTGATAGTTCACTTTGTATTGCTTGTTTCCAACCATCACTTGACATTACTTCGTTATAGGTCTCTGGTTCTTGTTCTTCTGCATTAAATAAGCAATAGGCTGAATAAAGCTCATAGTCACCAAATCGTTCTGGAATTTTCATTTTTCTCTTATTTTTTCTATTATTTCTGTTCACATTGTTTTCATTTTCTATTCCTTGTTCTTCTTCTGGATCTTGCTGTTCATCTTCTTCATTCTCTTTTTCTTCTGTCTCTACTTTATACTCGACAACCTCTTCTATGTCATACATAACATCATTTTCATCAAATCTCACATCTCTTGATATTATAATCTCATCAT